CTTGGGCAGAAACTTGGACATAAGAAAAGACTTTTTTCCATTGCTGTAGCTATGGACCAAGTCGCAATTGACTTCATAAGAGGATGCAACTTTCCATTTCACAGGTATGGCCGTGTTGGTAATCGTCTTGCCCGAGGCACATAATAAAGACCCCAATGCGTCACACTTTCCAAAAGTTACTGAATAATTTGACATATTATGTTTGAGGGTCATTTCGTGTGGTAATCCTGTGGTGAGAGTATAACCGTGTTTTGCTAATTCCTTGGCCAGTGTGATTGGGGTGTAATGTCCATTGGGCAGCATTACGGCTTGATAGTTAGATCCTCCTGTATGCTCAGTGACCACACCATTGATCAAATTATACCAAGAATTGTACAAAGAGCAACTTATGARCCGAACCTTACAGGCTTTAATGGGGGGATTCAAATAAGTGGTAAAGTTATTCTTGTCGCTTCCCAAAAAGACGATCATGAATATTAGACGCTCATGCTTCGCGTAGCTTAGACTAAATACGCCAAAGCCACGCCTCCCGCCAGCCCTGCAACTCCTACAAATACTAGCTCATTGTCTTTTTGTTTCTTAGAAGGCTGGTAGTAATTCTTAAACTGGGGCTTTCTCATCGATGCCGATGGGTGCGCCTGCGCATAGAGCTTAAAGGCGTAGTCTGTGTTTTCAAAATTCTTGTCTGCCTGCATTTTGTCTTGGTAGTTCTTGTCCAACCAATCCCTGTAAGCTTGTCTTTTTTCATTCCAAGCTGCCACGTCCCTTTGATACTTTTCCAGCGCTAAGTCGTGTCTCTTTCTTTCGGCGGCTAAATCTCCGCTGTGATCACCTATGACTAATCTATCCAAATATCGACCACCATAATTAGCTCCAGTAAATGCTAAAGCTGCAATAACTCCACCTGCAACCAAGCTAGCCATTTATATATTGGGCAGGTACTTTTCCTTCCGCAGGTAATCCTTTACCATGATAGCCCCGCCAACGGCAGCGGTCATCTTGGCAAAGTTAGCGAAGCTCTTGTTTGGGTCTTCAGTAAAGTCTTCTTTGAGCACCTTTTTACCTACCCAACCGATACCCGCAACAATGGAAGTAATAATAGCTGCTTCTTCAACAGTTTTCAATAACGCGGTTGACATTATATTACAGAGCGAGAAGGTTATTCCATCTCGGGTAT